TGTTGGAAAGCTTTTCCTGGTGCAATGGTTATCCTAATTTTGTTTGGATCACCAGTTTTTAATTTGACTTTGGTCTCCAAAGATGGGTACATTGGGTAGCAGCATACCCAAACTTATGCTTCTTTAACATGGCCAAAAAACTGCCACGACCGCATGTAGGCCGAAGGTTCTTTATCTGCTTGCTAAAATCACGAATAGCATTTACGATCTAAAGACTTTTCGACTTCATCAAATACTGCCTTGTCTCACTTTTACAGGGACTATGCCTTCATTTCTCCTGGTTCTCACCGCACGTACTCGAATATCTGGACCCTTGGTTACTGCGACATAGAAAAACCAATGAGGTGTCTTTCTTTTGCAGTTCAACATATTCACTTGGAGCCAAGTCTGAGGGTAAATTCTGTGATATTATCAGAGCAGAGCAGGGAATTTTAAAGATATGAAGTTCTCTACAATCGGGAAACAGGTAACTAGAACAAAGAAGAAACAGGACCGGCCATTATATACAAATGGACATTGTATCTAACGCAATGCATACGTAATCCGTTGTTGTGTTCTTATACGCAAAAGTGGGTCGATGCATCAGTCATGGCTGCATTTCTATATTGCCTCGCTGTTCTAGTTAATCATTTGCCGATGCTCAAAAGTCATGTATCGTTAACAAACTCCTTTTTGCTCAGATCCGTTTTAGCAGGTCATAGAATCTTTGGTATCACTGCAGGCTCGACCGATGGTTACTTAGCCATCAGCAAACGAGTCATTTGAAAAGGAAAGCGGCAAGCAAATACATTATCTGTATACTCGATTCGAGCGCGTTTCTCGTCGTTATATTTCCAATATTAACAGCAAAATTAGGTTTTAGTAGCCGACCGGTATTCGGTCGTCTCGCTCCCGTCGTTCCTCCTCCGGCGTCGATTATTGGCCACCAGTAAATGCGGAACAAGATACCTGGTTAAGAGAGGTGAACGCAGCGCTTAATGCTGGCTTGCGAGTAGGACTGCTGGAGCTCACCTTCGAATCGGCGACTACAGAAAAAAGGTTTTCGAATAAGAAACGCGTAACGGGGTTCAGGCAAAACAACGCTTATTATAGTAATTCAAAGACAAACGGATCTTGTGCCCTTGTTGCCGCCAGGGACGCTGTTAGTGGTGTTACCGCATCGGTAGTAGCGCTGATCGCGATGTTCATTGATGTTTCTTTACCGGCGAACGTGGTCCGCCTGACGGCTCGCTAGCTCCCAATGCTTTGGCCCTCTGCTGACATGAAATTGTCTCTGGGCGAAGGAAACACTGCAATAACGAGCGTACAGCTACTGTTTAGATTGATTCCTCATCTACTGAAGCTTCAGAGGAGAAGCAGATATAACGACGCAAAGCAACAGCGAATGGGCGAACAAACCCATCGCCAAGGGAACGCGCCGGCACAACTTTTCAAATGCAACATAAAAGACAACAGCGTTGAATGCTGACATCGGAAAGTCGGATAGCTGAAAGCCACCAAGGGCATAACATCTTTTCTCTTTGCTAATTTCAATTAATTATCGCATAAACCGGACTGTTTTCTTTTAGCAAATTATTATATAAGCCTTATCAGCTCTTTCCGCTAACTTTAGCGGAAAATCTAATATCCATAAGAAATAACAGAATAGCGAGCAAACCACTCAGAGACTAGAACAAGTAAATGGTTGATGGATAAATCGAATGCTGGTTCAATTAATAAACATCGGCATAACATACTAGGAAGTGCTCTTATTTTCTATGTTAGGTGTTGTAGTATTTTTTTTTTTCTATACGAATAGCTACACGGCGTTATTGTAGGTCAATGTAGCTATTTATTTTAAACTAAAGGCGATGAAACTCTATCTACGTGTACACATACCAAATTAGAAGTCAAATTCATAATGGACGCATTGCGTAGTGAAAACCAAATGTCGCGGTATGTTACGGTGGGCCGTCAAACGTCCAGCACAGTATAATGTCTATTAAACCGAGTGTTTTTGTAACACGCGCTCACGTTCGTGTGTCCACATATAAATAGACAATGTATTATAATAATTTATACGTTGTCCATATAGTGGTAGTCATAACATACCCATGGTATCTAAGTGTACTTAGATACTCAAAATAATAGAAAACGACGATCATACTATTAGCAGATCAGTTCTGTCAGACGCAACCGTTTGTGGTCTCGTTCTGCCCTGACCAACTCGCAAGAGGATTAAAACATCGCGTCTAGATCAACAAATACTAACAGAGTGTATTACTTGAAGGTCACTACTAGAACGCCGACACTAGAACACCGCGTACAGACACATCGTACACAAAAACGATTTTTACATCTACTACTATTACATCCACTATAAGTACTTTGGGACCTTAGCCGTGGTGGCAGCGTTAGGGCAGGGAGCTGATTTTCCAAGGCGTATACAAGGATATTTGAGCTTATTTCTGGGTGCTTCATGTACGAAATGTATAGTGCCGGCGTCGGCACGGTTGACTATACTTCGATGCAGTCGAAAGATGTCGGTTCAATGGTTATTATTATCCTTGTTAAAGGCGTTTGACTGTATCGCGCACAAAAGATGATCTCATCATTTCGACATTGGTAAAGGACCAGCTTGATGGTTTTCGTGTCCCCCTTCAACGTGTGTACTTCGAATGAAGTATCAACAAAGCACAATTGGCTGGCTGCACGGTCACGCAGACAATGACGGTAGTCCATCGCGACTGAGTAGAGGGCGTTTATGCTGATGGAGGTAGTTGAAGTATCAGTTTATTCATATAACTAGTCTTTTTAATTAAGAGTGCATATATATATATATATATGTATATATAAACATTTCTTTATAACAGAAATATTGAGTTACAGTTGCTCTTAACACACTATAGCGATCATGGTTAGTTTATCTTTAGGTAAGTTTGTTTACTTAAGTAGTTTAAATGTGGCATTTGGCTACTGTATGATACAAATATATTTATAATTATTAGAAAGGAAAAACGAACTTCACAAGATAATCTTACATCGAATTTTAGTAGTCGTAAAGATACGTCAGGTTTATTTCTAAACTCAAGCCAGTTAGAAATTCCTATATCTACTATACAGTATGTCTATTCTTGCCTCTATACTTAACCTACGTCCCACAGTCTGTATGATATCGCTGTTATAATAATAACACCTAAGAAAATAACGACAAGAACGTAGACAGACTCAGACTAATGATTGACTTCTTTTTGTCCTTTGACCCCAACGTTGTTCACCGAAGCTGTTGACGCGAGCGAGGAAGGTGGATTCGGCTGTCGCTGGTACCACACATCTTTGGCATAGGAAGCGCGCGCTAAATACATCTTCCACCATTAACTCGTTCCGCGCCTGTCATAGTACGACAATTAACGCATTAGTGCGTTGCCAATCCAAAACAGACACTGCTATATGGTTTGTTTATTCTCCGGCTTCACCGACGTCGCGGCTCAACTTTTTGTTGCCGCTAACAGCGTCCGCTGTCTCTTCCAATTCTGCCGCTAGATACTAAGCGGCCGGTTGCGCGAAATTTCTGGCTAGCATCATTTTCGGGATAGCCGCTAGTCGTAAGCGCTTGCCTTGCCAACGAGCAACACAAACAATTTCCGGCTTCGCCTTTATTCTCTAATCGTCATTCGAGTTTGTCTCTTTTTTGTTGCCTCGACAGTGATAGTTTTCTATTTCCTTAGTGCAGTTCTTGACGGTGGTTCCACTAGTTGCCGGCCATTTATTAATCGCGAACGACCAAACCATTTCGAACTGTAGTGGCAGTTATCACTAAAAAAAGTAGCGAGTTTAGACCCCTGCCATTGCAGGAATAGGCCTGTCAAATAGAAATAGAGCAGCTTCGACCATGTTGGATCAATAGAAAACCTCCGAGTACCAATTTTGACCACGACAACAAAATGCCGCTACAAACAGCTTCAAAATTACACTACTGCGGCTAGTGGTAATCGATCCTAAATAGTTGCCTTTTCTTTTTTTCCCTGTTGCTTTTTTTTTTCTGTGTTTTACTGCTCAGTGAATACGATACTCGAAGTTTGAGCCAGTTTTGACTACGGACACAGCCAGTTTCACTTTGCTAAAGTGACAACCAATGCGCATGTAGCATTAACTTGGCTTGTCGTTGCATTACAGTAACCTAAATAGAACAGTCGGAGAATCCACCGAACGAAATATCACCACTGCACTTATTCCTAGTAAGAAGTCACCAATAACACGTCGTAGAAGCAGCTGGCTAACCCGCCAAAGGCAACATTCGGTATGTGTCGAAATAACCGTGAAAAGAAGAATCACAAATTCCTCCAATTGCTTCTTCTATTCCGGTTTGGTCTTATCGGTAATAGTGGTTTAGCCTGTATGTTTCGAGTTTTACGTTCGGTACCGCTGTTAGGCATTCCATCTGAGACTGGCTCCCAGCACGAAACGAATCAGGTGTTTATCTATGCATTATGTGTTCGAACCCAGACCAGAACGTGTCCCCAAGATTAGAGAGCAAATACGTTACCCAGTAAACTATCGCGAGGACGTAGCGGAGCCTACCGGCGACCTACTGGTTAATGGAACGAGAATCAGCTCGCTCTTGCCGCGACTACGAGAGCACGCTGTAAGTCAATTGATTAACTAAAAATGTAATTGATAAAATTCTAAGACAGTCACCATCATCGGCTCTCTTAGCGGGATTAGCTATTGTGGTAGATAAGTTTAAACTAGCGTGTTCACTTTAGAAAACCAGACTAGCTCAGAGTAGTACTTGACAGAAGAATTCGTCCAGCAACTAGGAGATTATACGTGGTCAAGGTTACTGATAAAAGAAAAACAACAGTCATGTCAAAGCTTAGACATACAAAACAGATTCCCTATCATTTAATTCGCTTGATATTATTGTTCCATTGTTAAAGTACCAAAGTTGACTAAGCTTGCTAAACGACATAATCAATCGCGACATCTCGCCATTGTTGTTTAAGGAAAAACTAACTTACCTTGTAACAAAGCTGGCCAATGTCGCTCTACCCAGACGATGTTAGGTGTACCAGCGATTTTTGTGGTTATCCTCAAGTTGGCTAAAAGCGTATAAAACAAAGTTCATCAACAATTCAAGTTTCCCATTGTGTTTTCACTACGCGTCTCTGTTATCTTCCCTGCGTATTTACGTACGTCTTCACAGCAACGCCGAACGAATCACAATTAATTCATTTAATTATCGTGGTTAGAGTTACAGTAATTAGAGTAGCGTGAACGCTTGAAATTTTCCAGATATAACGATTTTATGTAGCTCTACTATTTTTGTGGTTCCAGTGACGCCACAGTTGAACGAGGAAGAAATCTGTTCAACACCCCATGCAGACACTTGTTTTAAGAACACACATATTAGACCGTACCCGGTGAATTGTCATAACAAAATAGAGTGTTTTTATGCTCATTTCCTCTGGATATCACCGAAAATCCTTATCATGATATTGTTGCTATTTCTTTGTTTGGACACTGTTTCGTCGCTATATACTCCAGACGTGTCTGTGAGCACTCGACGCTCTAGGAAAAAGCATCAAAAAATTGGTGTCGCACTACAGCGTTCAGCGTCTGTCTGAACGGAGAGTAGACTTAAACTTGCTCTTGAGTGTTTATGCTGAGCGCCAGGATCGGGGAGGCTGGCATGTGCTCCATCGTAACCGAAGTACGACGACCACATAAAGCGGAAAGGGTCGAGTGGAGAGAGGACCGGCCTGCGTGTGGCGGAGGGAAGCATGGTTTGAAGGAGACACTGGATACATACGGCAAACGACGAAGGGACGCAGAAATCAACGCCGAACAGCACCGACCAAACGAACGAAACTTGTCTTCGCTGCGAGTAAACGAAAGCTATCGGAAGGACCACAGGAGACGAGCCGCAGGGGGCGGAAGATTGGGAGCAGGAAGACTACAACGCAGGGATCCTAAGGGGAAACTCTATCTGAAGGGCATTTGATGGAAGCACGCCTGTCTACGAGAGGGAAGACAGCAACGAAACAAGACCGGTCGACGATCCAAAGACAAAAAGGATTCCAGCCAAAAGCGAAAAAGCTAAATCGATAAAGAATAAACAAACGATAAACACAATACTTGTTGTGACCAGAAAGGCTTGGCTAGCCCCTGGCGGAATCGCCTTAGGTTAACACTACTATGACCACTGCCAAGGGCCGTTCTAATCGATGGATGAATGAAGATTCGTCACGTGGATCTGGGGGTCAAACTGAATTAGCATGACTTAAGTTGGAACCTGAAGTGTGGACGAATTTGTCGAAGTACCTGTAAATCAGTGCGAGATGCGTAAAGCATAGATATTTACTAGCACGGTTGCTAAACCCAGTTGTATAGCACGTATTGAAATAGTCGGGTACATATACGGGTCTCAAAAGTAGGTTTTAGCCAACAAATTTGCGGTAAATATGTACTAGTCCGAAAACTGAGCGTCTAGGATACAAGTCAGAATCAATAACTACATAAAAGTAGCTGTAAAGTAAACAGGTATTTTGGTTCAGCTCTAATCTACTGGTACGGTGGCTTTGATGCTCACGGAAAGTTATTTCGAATACGTGGATTGAAAAAGCGAATTTGTCGCTAAAATAGCAGCTATTTTTCGAATTTATGCAGTTCGTTGCAAAATGTTCTAAATTAAGTTCGTGTAATGTTTAATTTATTTGAAAATGAATGATTTAAATTTTGAGTGGTTTGCTCGAAATTTTGCATCTACATAACATAGATTTTTGCTGAATTCTATCTTATAGTAGGTCACATTTATCCTGTTATCGACGAAACTATGCGTTTTTCTATTGGACATACTAATTTTACGTGTCTTCGAATTGTTAATTTTTCCATAATATATTTATGTGTATTGAAAAAAAGAGATAATATCAGCTTCTATATATTTTAGTTCTGTTTAACTACAGTCATCATTCATTACGTTAGACCTATAGCAACACACTAACATTACACATCCATCTCAAATTTATTTATCGCCATATGGCCTGCCCCAGGCGTCGCTTTTGTCCATGAGTCGGCATTAAGCGCAGCTTATAATATACTAATGTTACATGTCATTACAAATGTGCAATTCTTCTTCCCGGAGGGGGCAGGTGGCAAAAATGAAACCTGCAAAAAATATCTAATTTTGCTACATATTCCTATTCCATCAACTTTTGGCAACAGCTTCACCTTTCGATCAAACATTGTGAGCCTTTCATTGTGGCCGGCTTCTCGTTGGCATTGTCGTAAATACTGACTTAGCTAAAGTCGCGTTTTATTGCGACGACGAAGCAGTTGTTTTATAACTAATAAGGGGTAATAAGCAGGATTCAATTAATTTGATTTAAGACCCATCTATTCTTGTAGATAAACTAAACGATTGTAAACCAATCTACAGACAAGAAAGTGCTTCCATTTCACTCGTAGCAGAAGCTGACGTATGAGTAAGCTCGCGCTAAACGATTACGTCAGCTAGCAGAAATAGCGATAACCAAAGAACGGGTGCCAGAGTCATTAATATTTGATATGTACACTAATATTCTACGAGCACTACTTAGAGAATTAAGAAAGCATCATACGCTTCCTTAAATTAGATGTCTCCAGCTCAGTTTGCTTTAATAGCCTTAACGAATGGTGCAGTGTTGAAGCAAATACTGAGGACGTGGCGCGAAATTTAAACTGAAGCAGCTTAAGAAACGCGATTGGAATCAGCTGTCTGAGAAATCTTTGCGTAGTTGAAGGTCTTCCAAAGGACAATCATGCTTAAAAGAAAGTATCTGCTTTTAAGTTGTCGACCCTAGCAAAGTGATTGTGGTGTAACCGTGCATTTCGAAATAGAAATTCCAATTATTTACTATATTTAATCTGTTATATTAAGCCCTATAATTATTCTCGGCCAAATCTATCTGACATTGTTCACTACGAAAGACAACATAAGTTCTACTATCTTTGTTTACCATCCAGAAACTATTTGATTGAGATAGGTGTAAATGAGACGATACTCACATTCGACTAGTTTGTAGCAGGGTGTTTTAAAAGCACATTATTAAAGGTGTGATCTAAACCAAGAGACAAGGACTATACCTTTGTATTTCCACGAATATTAGGCTAGAATGACGTCCGCAATGTTTGCATTGACTGATCTTCGTCACCAGCAATAGCAGATACCTTTGATCTTGTTTATCATCACCTTTTCATCGGGTATATACGTGATATCAATAAAATTAACCTTAGAGGAAAATCCACCCGTTTATTTCGATAAAGTTTCTAAATCGCTTACAGAGAACAGAAGCTTGCCGATGGCGCGGCAGTTATTGGAGAGATAATAGCAGCACCAATGGTAGAGACGGGCGAAAATTGTCGATTAGGATTGAAAGTGCCGCAAGCTGCTTTAAGGAAAGCATCACTCTTCTCATAATTGAATGTCAATTTGAAAGATCTGATCTGAAAATAGGTAAAATAAAATTGTTGGCATTATTTAATGCTGTTGTACTTAACCTTTTTCTGGCTATCGGATATCAATACCGTTGCTAAGCATAGTTGTCATCTAGTCTCCTACATATATCATTGTATAGAACAAAGAAAGCTTGCTTGAGCTAAATTATAATTAGATGTATAATATTTAGTCGTAGGTGGTTTTAGTGAAATCGTGCAACTTCTAATAAAGGTACAGGTAAACATAGTTTTTGAACCTTATACCCTGTTGATATTTATTTGTTTGTCGTAAGTCGATTGACCTTTACCGATTCAAGAAGTGGTAACTATAACTAGCGGAGTAAATTCTTGACTGAATAATAATCCTAATAATAATGTAGCTTTAGTATAATAAAGCATAAGGAAACATCCGCGTACAATTAACTACACGTGCGCAAGCCACTGGCCATGCAAATAGACACTGAGGGAGGCACGCGAATTTAGACACCTAACGATGCATAAACAGATTGAAACAGTAAACGACGTTATTTTTAGTAACGTCAGTTGTCATCATCAGACACAATCTTTATGTGAAAAGACGTCCAAGTGCAGCAAATGATTAATGAAAGAACTTCAAAACAAGTTTTTAGAACTGTCTAATAATATCTTAGACTTTGTACATGAAAATAAAATAATGCAATTTCGAAACAAAATATATATAGTGTGCTCCACTGTCCCTACAATTTTTTTTCGTAAGCCAAAAGAGCCCGCTAAATAATCGATCGTACGAAGCTGTCGGTTGTTCCTATAATGAAGCGATATATGCAGCCAGGGTAATCTCACTCGCAAACGTCTCATGTTCATTAATTGTTACCGTTAATCTGAAATTGAATGCTTTGGTGCCTCGCGAAAGGATTTTTTCACGTCGCCCGCAAGTCCGACCTTTAAAATGAGAACGACTCGTTGAAGGTGCCGCTTTTCTTCAACCTATTTTTTGAATTTATATAAATAAAATTCTCGTGGACAAACCAGCAGCTATATAGAAGTTGAAAGCCAACAAACAACTACCGATCGAATCGATTCGTTGCAAGACGCTTTCGTTTGTCATCTAAGAATTTTGACATTTGGCACCTTTCACGCTACCAAAACTTTGGAGTGTAGTTTAACCCTAGACAACTACTGGAAATCTTATAGCTAGCTCTAGAATATGTTGCACGTGTGTATTCGCCCGCTATTTCCTTTTATTCCTTCCACTTTAGTCGGATCGAGTCAGGATAATTTATTGCATCCAACAGTATTCTGCGGTTACTCTCTGATCTGGGACTCGAAACTCGTTTAAGGACCGCAGAATTCTCTCGCTGGGTCGAGAACGTACCGCGGGTGGGTGCATTGTCCGTATTCATATATTTAGGTGATGAAATTTAACTGGGTTTTAGCAGGATACCCTCAAAGACTTACTAAGAGCTTGGCCGTTACTGTGAAAAGTGTTGTCGTTGAGGTAAGCTGCCAACCAGACAACCCGTTTTTTAATATTACCCAGTTGTGTGATATACAATATGCTACAACGTTACCGCGGTACAGGCAGTATTGATACATCCAAAGGTCTTCCGTGCCCCCTCTGCAAGCAGTGTCCTTATGGAGTTTACGTTACATGCTTGTTGATGAATGTTGGCATTATACAAAGAAAGATAGATTTGCAAATTTTAGATGCTAAAAAATATGATAGTGTTTAAATATATGATATGTTTGGAAATTGTCGCGATTAGATTAAAATTTGAAGATTGCTCTTATATAACAAACAACTGTTACTTTAGCCAAAACCAACATGAACTAAGTCACAGATGGCTAATATCTTGCGTGTGTTATCTACGACTTCACTAAGATGTCAGCTAGGCTATGTTTCGCCCCTAAGAAAAAAGTGATTAGGACTGTTTTCAACTGCCCCGTTCTTGTACACAGTCCAAGATCCTCATATCAAGACATAACTAAAACGATGCAGAGGAAAATAACTGAAACAAAAAAAAAAGAAGAAGAAAGCTTCAATATTTACCTCATTACGAAGTTTAGCTGAAGGTTTTTTCACTGACTCGAATTGGACTTTTCAAAAGATTGTAGATGAGAATTTATATGACGCTATTCGCATCTCACCGTATTTTAATAACATCTGAGCGGTCTTCAAAATTTCACCGTTTCAGCTAGAAATTCCCACT